TTCGTATTATTTTGCAATATTTGTCATCTATTTATTCTGTCATATACGTGAAAGGATTAGAAAGAAATTATTTTAGAAAATTTATTATGTAGAGAACATCATAAATCTAGACTGTCCTAAGATAGAGAATTTAAAAAAGAAAAGTTCTTTAACATGTTCGATTCATGCAAAAGGATTTAATTGCTGTGCTTTAACCAAAGCGGCTGCATTTGCTACCTATATAAAAGAAAGTGTGCAAGAAAAAGAGCTCATTTGTCATCAGCATGTCTCATCTGAAGGATGTGGATTATCTAAAACTATTAGGAAAAAGTCGAATAAAAAAAGCAGCTGTACTGAAAAAGTGTCCGAATCATCTCATTAAATCAGTTTGTGAGTGTGTTTTAAAATCTTCTAAAAGGAAACGTACCCATCACCAAACGGGTCAAAAATCGACTCGCCCCTTTTTAAAAGAACTTTAAGAAAACTAGCGGACAAAAAGTACCTCTTTTTAAGAAAAGACGTCTTTGGTTCAAAAAGGTGACGGTTTCCTATCTTTCCTGATTCCTGCAGCAGTCAGTGTCTTATCCTCTCTTATCCATGGAACACAGTAAGAAATTTGCCTTGGTACCCCCTGGATCGTATGCACCAATTTGAAGATGAACATTTGAGTGATTTAGATACCCAAATTCAAAACATCTTAAAAAAGAAATGGACGATGAAGAAAGAGAAAAATCCAAATTGTACATCCAGGTTCTGCAAAAGTATGTTACGTTTCCTCATGTGAACGCTTCCGAAGAACAACCGCCTGAACAACGTTCTGAGAAAGATATAGAAAAGGAAATTATGCAAACAGTTCCTGTGAAACAGAAAAGAACGGCAGAGAAAAGACGGCACAGAAAATAATAGATTTTCTAAAAGAGCATCAGATTTCCTGGACACAGAATAAAGAACTCATTCTGGATGATCATGTGTTTTCTGGCTCTGACATTGTTCAGTTGATAAACTTTCTGTTGAGAAATAGAACTCAAAAACCTTTTGCCTTTGAACAGTTTAAAAATGTACTGAATGTTAACAACTTTCCTCAAGACTTTGTGAAAAACAAACATTTAATGAATGTAAAAACTATGTATGCTAGACCTAAAAGAAATCCTCTTCGCAAACTGTGGCTGAAATTGTAATGATTGTAATACTTTGAGATATGAATAAAAAGTTAATTTTGATTTTTTCAGGTGCACTCAAAAGGAGAATGAAATTCCCTGACTTTTCCAGGTTTCCAGAGTTGTTTCAAGAAAATTCCAGTCTATCCGCCGTAAGTACGTTGGCTGTGCTAAGAGGTAAATTAATTATGGTATTACTTGTATTGTGTAGCAAATTCACTTAATATTCAATAAATCCCAGAGGACATTATTCTTAATTATTCTTGGTATACTTGTTGATAATTTTGTTTAGTTTTCCACTTAAGAAACTTAATAAAATTTAAGATATATATATTGGATACAAATGTATGTTTTATTTATATTACTCATGATCATCACCAGTTCAACACGATGCTATGCGGTCCTTATAAATCACAACGCAATGTAAATAGTTAGGTTAGATTTTAGTAAATTAATTTGCGTGAGGTATGTTCTTAAAACCTTAACACTTGAAAACACAAATATAATTATAATAGTTGTTGTTTTCACTGAAGATTGAGATTAGAATCTTCCCAATCTGGAATAAAATAAGGCTTTTTTTGCAGACATTCTCCAGCTAAACGAGAGAAAGAAATCTATTTTAATAAATGAGATATTTTATTTTTTTGCAGCATACATAGGAAAAATATGTGCATTAAATTCGTGATGGTATGTCATCATACTGCTATAATTAATTTCAGGATTATGCCAGAGAAAATTTCCTGAAATTTGGAAATATTTACTATAATAATAAATAAATTAGAGGGAAGAAGCAACATTAACTTATATGAATAACATAAAAATAATTACTTAAGAATTGAATTAGAATAATCATCTATATTTTAGCGAATATAGTTATATTACATGGTAGCCTAGATGACTGATTACTATTTTTTTATTTTACTGCAAAATGCAAAGGTATTTATTAAAAAGAAAAAAAAAAAAAATGGTTAAAAAGATTTTGCGGTAAAATTCTAGTATACGGTAAGGCTTTGGCACCGATTTTGAAAATTGTCGCCCAAGACCAAAATGGCCCGTTTATTGCGCATCAAGATGTCGCCAAATCCCAATTATTCTAACCAAAGAACGTCTATGTAAAGAAGAAAAGGTTCCATACAAGTAAAATGCTATTACGCCGCTAGAATGCGGAGGGAAAATTTTCAAGGGATTTGGCGACGGAACTGGCGGTCAGAATTTCCCTCTCCGCGATGTGTACAGGAAATTGAGAAAACGTGTTAAGAAGAACGCTCTTTGACAAAAAGAAAAACTACGAAATCCATTTTTAAATTATTGCGAAAAATCCAAGAAGAAACGTTTTATCAAAGGACGTTTCTTCTTGGATTTTTCGCAATAATTTTAAAAACGAATTTTCGTAGTTTTTTTTTTTTTCCCTCTGAAAATAACTAATCCATGAATTAATTTACTTGCGCCAAAAAATATTTTCTTTTCCTTTAGAGTTTAACCACTTGCGCTAAGACTAAACTTCACGATTGCGGTGCCGTGCGCTACAATATAACAAGCGGTTAAAGCGTCTCATTTACGCCGCTCCGCATCTGCGAGTGCAATCCAGAGCTGTAACTCGAGAAATAAACAGTGTGCACCACGTTATTTTCATTTTTGCGATAAATGCTTATCGACGTGGTGTTCACGTCGCTCGCGGTTTGAGACAAAAGCATCTTGACGTGCGTGGCACGTCTTTTTAGCGCAAGTGGTTAAAGAAATTTTAAACGATATTCATTTTATGAACTCTTGATAACGTGACCTTCGAACTTCGACACGGTTTCGAGCTTTGGTGACAGATATATCAGACATGCACAGCTGTTCCCTCTATGATGGAACGGAGCCACAGCCACGTCAGTTGCAGAGAGGTTTTCCTTCTTTACAATACATATTCTTTGATTCTAACCTCCATAGTACCGTATACTAGGATTAAACCCATTTTGTTTTATACGAGAACAGGTACTTTCTTTAATTCATGCACTGCACATGCGATTCTCGAGAATACTGGAAACCAAAAGTTGCGGGAAAGTTGCTTTGCCTTTCTAAAAGACAATCAAATTGGAGCTGCGAAAATTGGCTCTATGCCAGCTACCCGAATGACACTCACGTGATACATAATTCGCCAAAAAAGTTACCTCTTCCGACGTCGGCGCAAAAAATCGCTTTTTTGGCGGGATCGTTGTATGAACTTCCCTGACTTTTCCAGATTTTGACAAAAATAAAATTCTGACTTCCTGATATTTTAACATTTCGAATTCCTGACTTCCCGGTTCTCCAGGTGCTGGCACCTGTTTTTGTTATGTTTTTCTTTCTAATTAACTAGTATATAAAAATTTTTTTCTGATTAAACTAATATACATAATCATAACCATTATTTCTAAAAAAAAATATTAAAAAAACTTACCTTTCATGCCATTCTTTGAAAAAAAGAAAAACACCATAATTTTCAAACTTCTGTTATTTTTTTATCTAAATAAGTTTTTACACGCAAATACTGTGCATAACATCTTTTTACATACAAACATTTTTTGTACATACCATACATTTTTACAAAAGTTATTTTCAAAAGCCAAATGGTAAGGTGGTCAAGTCCTGTTGGATCACCCTTTTATCCAACACAATTCTGTACAGTTTTGTTTCCGGTTTATTCACCACCTTTCTTCTCTTCGCTTCTCGGGTGATTTTGCAGGGGTTGTGGAGAGAGATGATCTCACTTCGGTCGAGGCTGCAGACCAGACTTTTAATGGCTTCAAAATTCAGCAACTGGGAATTCCGGAAGTTCAATGAAAATCCTCGGACTTTGCAGCAGGTTTTCCCAGTGGCCGTCTGGTATGCGTAGTTTTTCGGTCCTCCTGAAAAAATAAAACATCATGAGAAAAAAAAGAGATAATAGAAAAAACATTAAACATTTTTGGTACATATTAAATAAGGAACTTTTTAAAGGTGTTTACCTGACACGAAGGTTTTGATAACATCTCCATCCAGTTCGTCGGTAAATTCTCCTAAGAAGTTTCCTAAGGGGGGATCGTTGCAACCATTCGAGGCATAGATGATGGAATCTGTGTCGTGATACAGGACATCTCGACCCAGCTTCTCCATTTCACTATACAGCTTGAGACGAGCCCAAGCTGTCGTAAAAGTTGCTAGAAAAATGTTGGTCGAGGCATCCTGCGGTACAAACTCCTTCGCAGATTCCCAGGAAATGGCAGCCACCTCAGGCGTGGGAAGAAAGAAAGACATCCTTGATCTGAAAATAAAAGAAGAATCATAAGTTAACAGTTCAAAATAGTTATGAGTTAACAGTTTGAAACACACTAAGCTTATAGATGGATAAAATCGATAAGAAAACTTACTTTTTTAGTAGGATCCGCCAACATCTTATTAAAGTCTGGCACCGTATGTACGTAGGTCAGTTGGGCTTTGTTGACGTTCATGCCCCATCTGAAACAAAAATTCAACATAAATCACAAAGAATTAAAAATGTTTACAAAAATTAAGTCCAAAAGAAATCATCTTACCTGCCCCAGAAACTGTTCAGGGCCAACTTGGCAACTTGTCGACGCCCAGGGTTCTTGGAAATCTTTCCAGCGTCCAACTTGACGCCCTCTCTTTCTTCATACTGGCGAATATACTTTAATTTGTCTTCAGGCGTCACACACTCCGAAGGCCAACCGCTACTTTCCTGTTTGATCTTCAGAAAGAGATCAATGTAGGAACGAAACAGGGAAGTAGACGATTCTTTGAAATGATAGACTTCGTAAATCTAGAAAATAAAGAATAAATTTCAGTTATGACAAAAGATTTTAAATAAATTTGGGTTATGACAAATAATTTAAATAATCTTTGAATACTTACATGTGTGACGCGGTAACCTTTCTTTATCGCCAGCTTGACTTCTTCCGATACCCACGTTCCGACAAGAGCTCTTTCATCGTCTGTGTGGGTACAGGAAGACTGAGACTGTAGAAAGGCACAAGTCCGACACAGGGGGAACATGAGCTTCTTCCTACACCGATAGGGCAGTACCGGGAGATAGAGGTTCCGAGGAGGAATCACACGGCACTGGATAAGTCCAAAGTAATTTTCTATATCCCCAAAGCTTTCCGTAATGATTGTTGGATGTCCTACAGGGTAGACGCAATATTTGTTCACCTGTGAAATAAAACAAAAAGTCAAAAAAACATACATAAAAATCAGAAAAAACACATCATCCATGAAAAGGTTTTAAAATAATAAAAAAAGTACGAACCCATGGATAGAGGGATGTGAAATCCACATATTTAGCGTCTCCCTCGTGGAACAATTTGAGGGCATTGGTCCGTCCTCCGAAAAATGAGTCTCGAGGATTAAGCCGGTCCCTCAGATGGTGTTGCTCCAGGAAAGCTTGGAGATCCGGATTTTCCTCTTTTCTCTTGAAACTCATGCTCCCACATTTCTATGACGTGGAAACCCTGGGTGCGAAGCTTTCGTGTGGTCTCTTCCGTTTTCTCTCGCAACGTTGTCATGGAAACCCCTTTTAGTGGATGAATGACATCACCGTCATAACAGGAACTACACCCGTGGAAGAAACAGCCCTAAAATAATACAAATATATTAATAGTGTTCCACATGTAAATTAAACATTAAAAGTGTAAAATCATTAAAAAGAATCATATAGAAAAATAATTTACTTTTTACATACCTGAAACTGATAGACGGTTTGTGTTGCTTGGCAGAAACCGTCTACCGAGACTCCGGCGATTCTGTGCTCTCCGGCTCCGTTCAAAGCGTGTTGAATGGCAATGCCTTCCGAAGCAGCAACAAAGTCTAACCACCGGATCGAATCAGGGCTGTAATTCGTTGAGTTGACGTAGCCGTGTGTGGGCACCATGGCAATCGTGTTGGGCTGAATGTGGCCACTCCGATACGTTGCCATACAGGCTGACGCAATGGTCACGTATCTGAAAAGAAATTAAAAGGATGGTATGAGACACTAAACATAACATAATTGTAAACATGATTAGAACAGAATGAGAAAATAACTTACTGGAATGGATCCACACCCGCCACATCCGAAAACTGGGCTCGAAACTCCAGACAACAGCGGCGAAGAAATCCACGTCCGATCTATGAATATAAAAGAAAATGTTAAATATACGAAACATAAAATATAAAATTAAAGCAAGAAAAAAGGAAAAAACATACCTGCAATAGGCCAGCATCTCGTCTTGAAAATTGAACACATCCCCCTTGTGTTCCTCATGCCAGGACAGAAATGCCTGTCGGGCTGAAGTGCTCATGGTATCCGGGCTGTAATAGTGGGGGTCCGGTAGCGGTCCGACATAACTCTGGTTTTCCCTCGAGTTAAAGAGATGAGGGAAGTATCCTTTCTTTAACTCGCTGAGACCGAAGCACCCCGGTAGTTTGGCCAACGCCATCGGTAAAAAGTTTAACGAGTCTATGACCCGAATGTTGAGACTGGGGTGTCTTACACTCATGATCATAGACCCGTTAGGGATCACCTCCGGCGCTGTGCCTTGCTCCAGGAGCCAGGCCATCACGAACTGCCCATCGAAACCTGTAAGTAAAAAAAAAAATTATGAATACTATTGAAAGCATAGTCATAATTAAAAAGCATGCAAACTATGGTATTTTAACTTACCCTTTCATGTTGTGAGCCACGGCGGTGAAGCCCTTGTGCTGTGGGGTAAACAGCCAGGCGCAGAAATCTTGGCATGCTTCGTAACCCGGGAACACCTTTTCAGTGCCGTCGGCATACTGAGCCACCGCGAAATTTACGAGATGTTCCCCCGAAGACTGGTCCGTTTCAAAGTCAAAAAATGAACTTGTCATTGGACTTCTTCGGAGCAACACGTCGCAAATAGCAACGGTGCTCAGCAGCCACGACAAACTGGCCGCAAGACGGACATTTGGTGGTGCCGCACTTATGCAGATCTTTAGGGCACGCTCAATCACTTGGCAGCATTCCCTGCACTGGTATATCTGTAACGACAATTAAAGAGGTATTTAAACGATTTCTTAAAAATTTACACGATCAATAATTACATTCATTTACATAGCAAAATACTTACCCGATCGCAAAGTGAAAACTCCTGGTTTCCAGTGAGAGCTTTGTGTGCTGCATAACAGGCATCCGATCGGCAGAGACGGTCACAATCCTGGCATCGCTGGGGCTGCCCTGGAAAGCAGTCGGTTCTTAAACATATGGGACAGGCATTGGCGCATCGATGTTCTTCTATACGCTGGTAGGCCTTTTCACAGACAGTGCAGTAATGGTCGCTGCCAAATAATCCTTTCAAAGATTTAATGACATCGTAGTGCCCATCGTGAAGCCATAAATTGATCCGTTGGGCCCTCTCCCTTCCTTTGTAGACCACCTAAAACATAGACATAAAATGTTTTCTCTTAAAAATAAAATCCAGCAAAATATTCAAATTTTAACATCTAAGCGAACTGCATAAAGCCTAAAATATTTTCAACGCATTCAATTTAACACGTTTTAACATCTACATGCATAAAGTTAATTTAGAAATTAGCTGTGTATTCAAATTTTATAAGTTGATCATTTAAAACAAATTGCAAACATACGTAAAATAATAAAGTTATCCAAATAAAAGTAAAATAAAATTTCACACTGCATTCGATTTTTTACAAGTTACATTTTTAACACGGAAAGTATAATCTAAAATATTCATCACGCATTCAGTTTTACAAGTTAAAGTTTTAACATTTAAATGATCAGAAATATATGCCTATATGTTAACTTTTTGCAAATTATATTTTTAACATAGAAACAAATTGCCTTTGTGCATACATGTAAATAAAATCTTAAAAGTGAAAGTTTTAACGAATTGCATACATAAAATAAGAAATTAATCTAACAATTTTAAGTAAACTAAAATCTCACTATGCATTTAATTTTTACAAGGTATATTTTTTAACATCGAAGCGAACTGCATACATTCATGGATTCTATGCGTGAATATCCATAAAATATAATCTTAAAATTTAGAGTAAGTCAAAAATTCACCATGTATTTTTATAAGACATATTTTTAGCGTCTAAAGAAATGCTTGCATAAAATATAAATTTTTATGTTAAATCTAAAATTAATCTAAAAATTTTTCATGTTATGTTTTTAGCATCTAAATAAATTTCATACATAAAAATAATCTAAAAAATGTAACACAATCTAGAAAATTTACTATGTATTCAGTATTTCAAGTTATCTTTTTTTAACGTGGAAACGAATTGCTTACATGCATAAAATATAAAGTTAATGTAGCAATTTAAAGTAATCTAAAAATAAAAATTTATTAATTTTGTCTATAATTTTTTTTTTTTTAACTTCTAAACGAAAAACTTTTCTCTAAAAATAAATTCAAAAATCGAACAATTTAGAAATCAGTTTTCCCCCATTATAATTTTAACATATAAAGTATTCTGAAAAGTTAAAGTTCTCTAAGAATAAAAATTCACCATGCGTTTAATTTTCATCCATTATATTTTAACATCGAAACAAATTGTATACAAGCATAAAGTTAATCTAAAAATTTCACTACGCATTTAATGTTTACAAGTTATATTTTTTAACATGGAAACAACGAAATTATCATAAACTCTGCTAGTAATTTAATTTTTTAAAAGTAATTTTAAAAAGTATTTTTTTAAAAATTATTCATGTACCCAAATAAATTTTTATCATATAGCCACAAATCATAAAAGAACTAAAATGAAGTTACGAAATGAAAACATATAGAAAAAATATCTTGAGATAAAAATAATGACTTACTCTGTTCAAGTTTTCCGAAGAAAAGACGGCAATTTGGACGTGCAGGTGATCTTCAAATATGGCTATATCCGCAAACGTGCAGGGGCCTAAAGGAACATTCGCAACCATATGGAGCTCTCTTGCTCGCTTCACGAGGGCTGGTCGACGATGATCTTTCATGGCTTTAATAGCAGCTTTGTCCTCATTCAGATGTGCCAAAGCATACACAATGCTTTGGCACAGCACAGTCCTTCATCGTCATAGGGAATGGACAAAATAGACTTTTTACTGAGCCTATCCACTGAGATATTAATCACTTTCCTATTTCGTCCGGCACCCACAGGTCTTCTGATAGTGATCACGTCCACTGCGAACCCTGTATCCAGCTCGATTTTGTCTTTGGACTGCAGTACTTTCATGACTGCAGCCAGAATCTTTTCGACCGTTAATGTCGAAACTGCCATCAGAGAAGTGCTGATCGGTTTGTCCAACCCTTCAGCTTGAATGTAAAATCGGATGAGGTCCGATGGATTTAAATCAGCTGCTGTACGGCGAATAAGTTGTTCAAACAATTCTCTGACGGTGTCCGGAATTCAGACCATCGGGATGTTTTGCACGCCTTGAGGTAGCCGTTCCATATCTATACCAGCTTGGAAGGTAGTTTCCTCGGCCTGATATTTATGGTTCCGTCGACGAGACTTTTCAGTGAGAACAATCGCCTCATCGATCTGAAACATAAAAATCAGTTTCAGTAATAATCAAACATTTTCAAAAAGACATTATTTTAATAAATCATGCAAAAAAGAAAAATACACACCGAACGTTCATCGGAACCAGCCATAAAAACAGACCCACGAGCTGATGACGGAGAAGTCTAAAAATAAATAAATACATTAATTTTAGTACTAAGAAAAAAGTATTCTAGCAGAATCTAAAAATGCTGAAATACTTAAATAAAGATATACTTAAATATTTACCTCAAATCCGGAACCCACTTGATAATACAAGGGTAGATCCATAGGATTTTCCAGAAAACTCTGATCCACTTCATCGATTAACTATCAAAATAAAATAAAATACGTTTAAAATACATTCAAACAGTAATAAAATACATTAAATAAAAAAGTGCGTTAAAAATACGTGTAAAAACTGAGTCCCGAAAAGGAAAGTCAGGATCTTCAAACAGGTCCTGGCAATTAAAAATTTAAATAAATATAACATTCAAAAAGAAATAAATTCGTGTTTAAAATAGTAATCTAGACAAGCGAAAAAATACTTACATTAGATGCAGAATAAGTTCGTTTAGCAGATATCGTGTACAAGAAAACGAAATGGCGCAGGAAAATGACAGAGTCAAAATGACGTTCACTCAGCAAGAATCAGAGTAGAAATGATGAAATCCGTATCCGTATCCGTATCCTGTTCCTATCGACTGGTATACAGTCCTAAGAAGGACTTTTACCAGGCCTGTACACCCTTTTTTGGGATCCAAAGTAGATATTACCTCCGGAAACAATACGTTTCCACTGGAGCTAGAAGCACCTCCTAAGTACTAATACTGGAAAGCAGATCTTGGCAAAGGCAAGGCACATTCCTGTCATGGCATAATTAAGCGATGGCATAATTTCAAAGGCATATTTTGAATTTCTTGAATTAAATGGTAGTTGTGAATGGCATAAGAGAAGATCTTGAATTTAAGACAATAATGATAATGATAAGCATTGTAGAAGATATATGATAAGCAATGGCACGATAATTTGAGTAGCTGCGTTACGCACGTCTCTCTACTGTGAAGATTGAAGGCTGAATGAGAAAATTTGGGCGGCGTCTGTATACTTCGAGCGCGCACTTAACTCTGATTCGTTGAAGTAATCACATGATAAGATACACAATTGCGATTTGTTGACCAGTCCTTAATTTTTAGTCCTTCTGGTAAAGGATCGCAAAAATAATGAAAAGAAAAGTCTTGGTTAACATATGAAGAAAAAATAAAACTAATTTAAATATTTACATATATACATTACCATTTCTCATTGTGAAAAATGGCACGCGGTCTATTATATCGCTGAATCAGAGTTGCATCGTAGTTGAGTAGGTTGGATATTGTTGCATCTGAGTGCTTGCTGCATTTTAAAAAGAAGTTGTGTCTCTTTTTGATAATTTCACTATTGAGTGGTTTTATATTGAGATCTCTATGTATAGTATTGTTTCTGATAAACCATGAGGCGTTAGTAATAATTCTGAGCATCTTATTTTGAATAGTTTGTAGAATTTCTCTATTAGTTTTAGCAGTGGCTGCCCATGCTGGTGATGCGTATAATAATATTGGTCGAATGGCTTGTAAATAAATTGTTCTTTTGGTGTTGAGGCTTAGTTGAGAGTTTCTTCCTGTAAGTGCTATAATTGCGTTGAAAGCTTTATATGCCTGATTTCGTGTATAAAGCATGTGTTTTCTGAAGGTAAGTTTGTTGTCTAAGAAAACTCCTAAATATTTAACTTCTTTAGCCTGTGGGATGATTTTATTGTTAATAGTGATATTTTCAAGTTGACGTCTGAGGCTATTTTTTCTGAAATAAATTCGAGTAGATTTGCTTTCATTTATTTTAATCTTCCAGGCTTTGAACCACTGCGTAACTATATTGAGGTGCTTCTGTAGATTATTTTTAGCTTTTTGGGGTTTATGGATTTGCTTAAGATGGCTGTGTCATCAGCGTAGCTGGTAATTAGGATGTTTGGATCTGTTGGAATATCGTTAATATAAACATTGAAGAGGGTCGGAGAAATTATGGATCCTTGTGCTAAACCCGCAGTAGGGTAATGGATAGATTGATAAGGAATTCTTGACTTTGACTTGGTAGGATCTGTTTTTAAGGAAGTTTGTGATGAGAACTATGAGGCTTGGTGGGAACTTATAATTAATGAGTTTGATAATGAGGCCGTCCAGCCAGACTTTATCAAATGCCTTTTCAATGTCAAGGAATATACCGGCTACGGTTTCCTTTTTAATGAAACTTTCGCCGATATATTCCACTAGCCTGGTGATTTGATGCACAGTAGAGTAGCCAGTACGGAATCCAAATTGATGTTTTTTAATGATATTGTTATTGTTAAGATGATCTTTAATTCTATTTTGTGATGATGCGTTCGAAAATTTTTCCGATAGCAGGAAGGAGAGAGAAATGGGTCTGTAATTTGCTGTGCTTTGAAGGATCTTTTCCGGGTTTCTTTAGGATGAAGATCATGGCATGTTTCCAACATTTCAGGAAGTGATTTTTTCTAAGGCAAGCATTATAGATGTTGCATAGGAGGATGATAGCTTTTTAGGGAGACTTTTGATAGCTTTGTTGTTGATTTGGTCCTGTCCTGCAGCTTTTTTGATATTGAGGCTTTTTATGATCTTGCGTATTTCACTTGGGTTGGTAGGAAAGATTGGGGCTATTGCAGTTATTGGAGATGAATTGATTTACATGATTAATGACATTAATGTCATTACTGCAGGGATAAGAGTTGTTTGAGAATTGCGTTTGATAGTCTTCGGCAAAAATTTCTGCTAGTTCCTCGGGTTTGGAGATAGTAGGAGTTATTTCTTTTGATAGGACCTATTGTATAATTTTTGTTTTGTAAAGCTTTTGCTGATTTTCCAAACTGAGTGATCTTTGTTGTTGAGGCTGGGGACGAAATCGTTCCCTGCTTTGTCGTTATAAATTTTTAAGCATTTTTCTAAGGTCTTTTTGTGCTCTATTGAAATTTCTTTTATCTCTATGGTCCTGGGTTCTTTGCGCAATTTTTCTAAGGTGATTTTTCTCAGAGATTTTCCTTAAAATATATTGAGGTAAAGTGGCAGGGGTATCTTTGTTAATAAATTTTGAGTGATTTAATGGCTCGTATGATGCGTTTATTTAGTTGTTCTATTGCGGCGTCGATTTCTGGGCCAGAACCTAGGCTGGTAGTAGCTTGGATGTGTTGGTTGAGCAGGTAGGTGAAATTATTCCAGTTTAATTTTTGTCCTTAAGGGGTGGGAGGCCGTGCCTGAAGCCCGTATAAAGTGAATTCAAGAGGAAGATGATCTGAGGAGAGGCAGTTAGCGACTTGAATATTTGGAGTTTGCTGGATTTTGTGAGTAATGACGACGTCTAGAACGTCTGGTTGGCCGAAAAGTGTAGTGGGAATATAAGTAGGGTCTTCTGGGGCGTAAATTTCAGCGTTGCTATTTAGAGTATATAGTTGTTTAAAATGATACCATTACTATTGTTGGTCTTTGAGTTCTAGTTCTGGTGTTTGCAGTTTAAGTCTCCTGCTATTATAGTGGGGTATCCGAGGTTGAAGATGATGTCCAGATCGTTAGTGCTGATGTAGTTATTTGGCGGTTTGTAGGCAGAAATAATGAGAAATTCTGTATTCTTGTTGTTCAGAATGCAAGCAGTAGCTTCCATGCTGGAAAGTTGTGGCAAATTGAAAGGATAGCAATTTAGATATCGTTTAGTAGCAATTAGGGTTCCTCCAACTCTGTTGTGGGTCTAGTCTGTGCGAAAAATATCGTAGTTTGGAATTTTAAGTTTGACTGCAGGTTGAAGGTGAGATTCCGAGATCATAAGGATGTCGATGCTATTTTTATGTAGGTAATCTTTAATTTCGGTGAGTTGCCTTTTAATGCCATTGCTATTGAATGCTGTGAATTTTGCATAGTTGATGTGCTGATTTTTGTGATTAAAATTATTGGTGTGATTACTCATAACTGTGATTTTCGAATACCCGTATAGCCTCCATGGCCAGTTTTAATTTAGATTGGCTTTCCTTGACATTCCTGAATTTAGTATAAATTTGATATAACTCTTGTATGAAATTTTGGAAGTCTTCAAATGACTCATCTTTATTTTTTATATTATTTTCCGAGGTTTTCTGAGTTTTCATACTGTTTTCCTTTTCTCTGATATTAGCTGTGATGCTTGCGTATGATTGGTTTTCCGTGGTGAGTTTCCTGGTATTTGATTGGTTCGTCGTATTGGGAGTATTTTGACTTTTGTTCATGGCGCTGGGTATTATTGTTGGGTGCTCCTTAGTATTTCTTGCAGCATGTTTATTATTAGGATGTTCGGGGCATTTTAAATCGCAGGCTGCGTGAGAGCCTTTGCAGAGAACACAGATAGGGAAGATGTTTTTCCTTTTTTGCGGGCATTCGTAAGATTGATGCTCTTCAAGGCATCTTACGCATCTGGGAGTATTGTGGCATGCCTTCTGAGTGTGTCCGTATCTTTGACACTGGAAACATTGAGTGAGGCCTGATTTTCCTTTATATGCGACTATTCTTATTTTCATATCTAGTAATAGTTTTACACTGAACATGCGTTTTCCTTCGGGGGTGTTTGCCGATTCAATATAAAACATTGGAAGTTGTGTGGCTATACCGTCACGCATTCGGGTCATTTGTTTTACTTTGTTAATTGGTAATTTATAATCTTCTGTGAGGGCTTCTTTAACCTCATCTTCTGTATACGTAGTGACTAATCCTTTTAGAACACCTTTTAGTGCTTTGTCGGAATGTAGTAGGAAAGTGTGGTAGGGGATTTTTTCTTTGTCGCATTTATTTTGTAATTTTTTGTAGTCTTCTGCCGAGAAAAGTTTAATGACCAGGTTTCCGTCTTCTTTTTTAGCCTCTATTTTTTCTATATTTAGTCTGTCTTTGAGATCTTTCCATGATATCGAAGAGTCTGTGATTATGATTGGGGGAATTTTATTAACGACTTTAGAAGGTTTTATAAATTGTGTGTTAGAGATATTTTCATCTTCCATCTTATTATTTTCATCAAGGTTTTGGTCTAGTTTTAAAGTGCTGAATTGATTTGATAGTTGAGTTGGGGATAGTTCCTCTATTAAATCGTTAGAAAGTCGTCTGTGCCTTTTTCTAGGCGCCTGAGTTAGCCATGCGTCTTTGGGATTCGTGGTGTGATCTTTGGGATTAGTGATTTTGTGGAATTCCTCGGGTGAGAGGGAATTATATAATATCTTAATGAGTAAATCTCGATTATCTATTTTAGGTAAGTTGTTAAGCTCATTTTCTAATTTTTGCAATTGCAATAAGTCGCAATCTGATAAATCCGAAGAATCATTTTTTGC